AGCGACAACCGGCCAACACAACACAACACGGCCAACTTTCGTGTTTTGAGTTTATGCTCTGTAGGCCTAGTCTAGGAAGTGCGGTAAAGTTGAAATTTAGGCCTAGTACTGGAACTGGTTGGGATATTCAGCGACGAATGTTGGAGTATACATGAAGGTAAACATGAAACCTTGAGAAAGCTTCAGATCAGAGCGTTATTTAGACAGTTTCAAGTAAACTAAAAAAAAATCACTTAAAAATCATAAGTTATTCACTATAAAACAAACATGTTTTAATTGAAATGTGATTTTATCTACCATAAATTTTGTGTATAAATAATAGCGTTGTACTGTGATTTGAAGCTTCGTAACTGTCCCCCCCCCCCCCGTGGTCAGCCTGTATATTTGGGTAGACGTGTTGAGTACTGCCTCCCCCTTGTTAGTCCCACCCACCAGGGGGTAATGGTGGGACTTGCTCCCCACGGAACCACACCAGGGGGTAATGGTGGGACTTGCTCCCCACGGAACCACACCAGGGGGTAATGGTGGGACTTGCTCCCCACGGAACCACACCAGGGGATAATGGTGGGACTTGCTCCCCACGGAACCACACCAGGGGGTAATGGTGGGACTTGCTCCCCACGTAACCACACCAGGGGGTAATGGTGGGACTTGCTCCCCACGGAACCACACCAGGGGATAATGGTGGGACTTGCTCCCCACGGAACCACACCAGGGGGTAATGGTGGGACTTGCTCTCCACGGAACCACACAAACTAGGCTAGCTAGACTGGTTCTTAAGGCCTTTAAGACAACTTTAACAGTTGTCAAATACCCAAGATTTGTAATGATTACCGCAGCGTCTTTGTACATTGGTAATTCATTTAATATTTTGAAACCCACGGATTATTATATAAAATTAAATATATAATTTTGTTTATTATTATTATTATTAACAAGGTTAGGTATACACAGCAATGTGCTGCTACCCTATTCTATATGAAAGATTACACGGTGTAGATAAAAAAAATTAGCTACAAGTTCAGCTAATATTCCCATCTCACAAGATGGTTAGTCATACATGGAATCAGGGGAGAAAATACCTGCCTCAATACAAAAACAAATCAACTCTGACAAAAAAAAAATCAGGAAAGAACATGAAATGTAAAGTTGATCTGTTACCCTCCACTAGCAAAATCTGGGCACAGCACAAGAATATCTTCCAATATTCCTGAGTGTATGAATTCATTCATTAATTCATTGCCTGCAGCCACCCGCCATAGATATTGATATCCCAGCCTAATTTTGGCAATTACAATGTCACACTGTCCAGTGGATGTTTTAAGCTGCCCGTACATATAATTCTCTGTTCTAAACATGTCAAGCTTTTCATACTCGTTCTTTCTGGCCTTTGTGTGTCAGTAACTGCTCTTCTGTCCTCCCTAATTTCCTGAAATATTGCAGTTTTTACAGCAGAGATTGGAGTGCCCATATCCAACTCAATCTCTGGCTTATCACATGCAAATTTAGCTGCCTTGTCTGTGTCATCAAGCTGGACAACACCTGTGTGAGATGGTAGCCATACAAATGAGACAAACTTTTGCTCTTTGCATTAATAATGTTATTTATTATGGATGTTACAACATTCCTAGTGTCTACCTTGCATGTCGAGTTTTTAAGGCCCTGAAGAGCTGACTTTGAATCACAGAAAGTTACTCCTCCACTGTTCTTCAGTGCGCTAGTGGCCAGTTGTAGTGCAGCTAATTCTGTATGTGTGGAGCTGAGCCAGTTATTCAGTCTCACACGTGTGGTCTGTGTACATATGTTATCCTTGTATATTCTACAGGCTGCTGCAGTGCGACCTGTTGACATTTGTACAGACCCATCAGAGTAAGCATAGTGCTCGTGGGGCCGTAAGTTATTTATAAATAAAGGAATCAATGGTTCCATGTGTTGTTGCTTTCAGGAGTGGTGGGTTTTCCTTGCTCTTTTAGCTGATGGTCGTGTAAGATACTTGTATTTCAGGGTACAGATATAATGGGATATCATTGGCTAGTACATTTCAAACCTTAAGTTGAAGCCCCATACCTTTGAAATTCCTTGAAGCCAGTAAAGCCCATTGTTCCTCTATACTCGGTATAAATACTGTACTTAAACCTGGTTCAGAGAAGATTTTAATGTTCACTGGAGAGCAAAGTGGAGAGTGAAGGTAACGCTCAGTGGAGGCCACACCGCCACCATGTACACAGCACCTTGGCCAAGCCGGCGCCTCCACCCCCAGCAGCTGGCACATTGCCTCATTACGTAGTGTGGGAGGCACAAGTGGGGGAGCGTGGTCCAGAGCTTACTGCTAGCCACCTAGTCTCAAGGTGGCCGTTCTGGCCCCTTTCTCCCAATTACCCAAGTGTAGTTACAGGATGAGAGCCACGCTCCTGGTGTCCCTTAGTTCTCTTAGCGTGTCAGTCTGGGCGCACGCAATGCATGCAACTCTTCTCCTAAAATGATAGTACTTACAGCCAGTATTTGGATCAGAGTACGAATATGCAGTGTTGCACTACCAAAAAGGTCACGTTTTGTATTACTGAATTAACCCAAATGACAGTCTCTTAAATACGAAATGAAACTAAAGAACCTGACCTAACTTGCCCTGGCAATCCTTCACCGAAATGTTTGAATATTGTGGTAGTCCAACACTACATATTGTGGTAGTCCAACACTACATATTGATGCAGAGGATGAGGCACAATAACGTGACTGAAGACACTATGACCAAACCTCCCACCAGAAGACACTATGACCAAACCTCCCACCAGAAGACACTATGACCAAACCTCCCACCAGAAGACATGATGACCAAACCTCCCACCAGAAGACACTATGACCAAACCTCCCACCAGAAGACACTATGACCAAACCTCCCACCAGAAGACACTATGACCAAACCTCCCACCAGAAGACATGATGACCAAACCTCCCACCAGAAGACACGATGACCAAACCTCCCACCAGAAGACACTATGACCAAACCTCCCACCAGAAGACACTATGACCAAACCTCCCACCAGAAGACACTATGACCAAACCTCCCACCAGAAGACACTATGACCAAACCTCCCACCAGAAGACACTATGACCAAACTTCTCACCAGAAGACACTATGACCAAACCTCCCACCAGAAGACACTATGACCAAACCTCCCACCAGAAGACACTATGACCAAACCTCCCACCAGAAGACATGATGACCAAACCTCCCACCAGAAGACACTATGACCAAACCTCCCACCAGAAGACACTATGACCAAACCTCCCACCAGAAGACACTATGACCAAACCTCCCACCAGAAGACACTATGACCAAACCTCCCACCAGAAGACACTATGACCAAACCTCCCACCAGAAGACACTATGACCAAACCTCCCACCAGAAGACATGATGACCAAACCTCCCACCAAAAGACACGATGACCAAACCTCCCACCAGAAGACACTATGACCAAACCTCCCACCAGAAGACACGATGACCAAACCTCCCACCAAAAGACACGATGACCAAACCTCCCACCAAAAGACACGATGACCAAACCTCCCACCAGAAGACACGATGACCAAACCTCCCACCAGAAGACACGATGACCAAACCTCCCACCAGAAGACGACGACGTGTGGGTCCGTCCTGGACCATTACCAAGACGATGGTGGAGGAGACGAGGAAACGTCGTCGTCTCGTCATCTTCTGGTGCGTGGTTTGGTTATCGCTACATATTGATACTTGCCCCAAATACTTGTTACAAATATTACCTTTTTAGGAGGATGGGTTGGTGTCTGATAAACCCTCCCACCTACCCCACCTTTCCCCTATATCTACCTGCCCTCTATCTTTTTTGTTCTTTCTCTTCCCCCCCCCCCCCCCCCCCTCCCTTCCTCTGCTCTGCTCTGTAAAGATGGAAAAACCTCTACTATATGAGCGTTGTTGTGTGATGTAGACTGACATTACCTTACATTATCACATACTTTTACCCCAGAAAATGTGCTATAATGGATAAAATCATGTAATCATTGTACATAAATAAGGAAATGTATTTTGTCTTATCGTGCAAAGTATCTAATGTAGAGGCTTTCCCATGGTGCTGAGACTGTCTAGTTACCGACCTTGGCACCACGAGTCGGGTTGGGAAGCTTCCGGATACAAACCAAACAGCTGTTATTTTACATATATTATCTTTGCTTTGTTTTTTGAATCATAAGGATGTTGGTACAATAATGCTAAATGTGGCAACAGGTTTGCTTTTTAGAACTTGTAAATACTATCATCTGGTCATTGTAGTTGATAACCAGTGGTTATAGCGCTAGCTATTTTTGCGTTTAGTCTAGATTGACTCGTTTAAATTATTGTCCAGTTTACAAAATAAGTACTGGAGCGATGCAGGGGATGAGTCACAATAACGTGACAAAAGTATGTTGACCAGACCACACACTAGAAAGTGAAGGGACGACGACGTTTCGGTCCGTCCTGGACCATTCTCAAGTCGATTGTGATGAGGAAGTAGAGACTGGAGCGATGTTTTATCGTATAGCAAGTATCTCTGCGAGGGAGGAAATTATATTTTCATCATCTTCGTGAACCGTACAAATTTCAAGCACAATTGCCAAAATCCCTCACTAAGCTCAAAAAAAAAAAAAAGAGAATACACTGTTACACAGCGCCCAGCCCCAGGCCAAAATTAGCGAGTAAATAAACTCTAGAAACCTACTACAGGTATGTATGCATTTTTAAATTTTGCTCCAACACAGTTTTGTAATTTTTTGCATACAGAGGGCATTGCAATGTGAATTAAGAAGAAACATACTATACTGCAGGAAACCCATTGATCTTTAGATGTGTTGCCTCTTGAGAGCACAAAGGAACAGGCCGGTCTGAGTGGGTAAAACAGTTAATTGAACAGTTAAAATTAACTGAATACATTTAGCTAGTAATGGATGTAATATGAACTTAATGGTATTCCTTCTCCCTCAACAGGTAAAATGGATGATGTACTGGATTGTGTTTGCCTTCTTCACATGTTTCGAGACGCTAACCGACCTCTTCTTAAGTTTCTGGTTCCCTTTCTACTACGAGGTATGTCGGTTCCCTTGCTTATAGGACTGTTGTCGCTAACATTGTGGAAACTAAGCATTTGAGTTGAATTAAATACTTTTGAAAATGATCTGGTCGCATTTCCCATCACCTCTCTCTCTCTCTCTCTCTCTACCCCCCTCCCTCCCCTCTCCCTTTCCCTCCATTCCCTCACCTGCCCTCCCCCTCTCCCCCCTCCCCCCTTCCCCCTCCCCCCTCCCCCCTTCTCCCCTCCCCCCTTCTTCCCCCCTCCCCCCTT